ATTAGGTATGTGTTTATGGTTTCAATTATAATAAAAACAGGATAAAAATGGTAAGATATTTATAATTTAAAAGTTAAAGATGGTAATATCCATCCAAAATTAAAAGTTGAAATTTTTTTTAAAAAGAAGGCACGCTTTTCAATACAAAAATGTTGGAAGAAAACGACACCGTACTGCATGGTTCTTCTTTTCTGAAAAAAGTATGTATTCCAGGACAGCCCCTTGTCTGGACAAGGCGTTGGGGAAAGGCTGATGCGAAAACTCCAAAACATTCTCCCTCGAGCGGGGTTTCCAAAGAGGAGGGAGGGGCTATTTCGACCTTTCCACACCCAGTCAATGCCACGGCCAAAAAGGGCAAAAAGGGCAAAAAAGAGAAAAAAGTGGTGGCCATAATATTAATAACAACAATAATAATATGATTTATAAAGGAGATTGAAGAGGAGAAGAGAGAGGAAGAAGGGTTTCAAATATTTGCGGAGAAGGTGACTGCGTGTGCGACAAGGCGGAGAGGGAGAGGAAGAGGAAGAAGCGGTTTTGGCGACCTCTAAGTAAAAAAAGAAGCTTGGAGAGAGGGCTTTCAAGTTCTCTCTCTCTTGTTTCTCTCTCTCTTGTTTCTCTCTCTTGACCTCCAATTTATTTTCATCCTCTTCTTATCAAGGTCGAGGAAGAGTCTAGAGGAATCGAATCGATACTGTAAATGATACTTCCTGTCATCTCTGGCAGCTGCTTATCGACTCCTCCCCGGTCCTCTGCCTTCGTACTTGTCTCTTGCACCTAGGGTTTTTAACGCCGCCTTCTTCTTCTTCAAAGAGGTACTTTCTTCTCTGTGTTTGTTTATTAATTTCGTTTCGAGTGATTTTGTTGGATACTTGAAGTAGAGGTATGGAGAATCGTGTTTTGGGGTATCTTTTTTTTGGGTTTTGGGTTTAGGTTGCGTCTGAGTATCCTTGATGGGTTTTATTGGGATTTTTTTTCTTTGTTTAATTTGATTTTTTCGTACGATTACCTTAGGGGGTTTTCTTTGTTTTGAAACCTTCTCATGCTTGGTTGGAGGTAATCTGTGTGATTTTTAAGGATTTGTCTGTTTTGAATTATTTTTCACTTGAATTTTCATTTTTGGTGTGATTACTTTGTGCCGTAGCTAACTCTTAAGACTTACGGCTGACTATCTATGATTTTTTTTTTATTAAATTCTTTTGGTTTTGTATTTTAAGATTTCGCTGAATGGGACTACTATGGGATGTCTTTACTTGAGCAATGTTTTGTTTTAATTTAGAGCAATTCGATTGAGGTTTTGGCATCGTTATATACTCACTATTTTTGCTGCACGTTCAAATGCAGAATCATGCCAACATTCACTACAATTGCGTTGGAAAGGTTGTTAGAACCTGGAACTTCCAGGTCTGTCGATAAGTCCCTTCCTAAACCTAAGCCTTCTCTGAACTCCGACCGTGCTCCAAGCACGAAGTTGGAGAGGAGAAATAGCCCATCAGTTGCTGACAGAAAAATTCAGCGGCCTCAAATAAAGCCAGCACTATATGCCACTCCAGAGGCAACTCCTCTTCCGGATTCACCATCTTCATTCCCTCCTTCCCCTTATATTGTCAATCACAAGCGGCGTGGACCTCGTCTCTTGAAGAGTTTCTCTGAGGACGACGTCTCTTCTCGCAAAAAGATGAATGATAAGGATATAGGAAATGGGAATGTGAAGGGTACAGATAGCAATGATGTAAAATTGACTGAGGGTGCTTCTGTTGTTGTTGACATGCCTATTCCAGATGGGCACAGAAATGGTCTAGATTGCGCTAGTAGTAGTCATGTTGGTCAAAATGGGAGTGTTGATGATGATCATGGTGCTGCAGGTGTCCAACTTGCGAGCAATCACAGTAATCATGGAATGAGTAATGGTGTTACTCGGGAAAAGGATTCATTGAAAGTCGTTGTGTCAAATTCAGGAGGTGTGGGGGATACTGAAGACTTCTTTGACCCACAGGATTCCTTGAGTGTTACAAGTAACACAGATGGAGAGGATAATGGTATTGAACGTTCAGCTAAAATCGGTACTCCTGTGGGGGAGTTTTATGATGCTTTGGAAGGTAAACATGACTCAATAAATGAAAAGGTTATTCTGATATATTTTGTGATTGCAATAGTTTATCCTACTCTTTGTTCTCGTGCGTAATTATGCAATTTACCGTTTGGTGGTATTCCATTTATTTTAATGTTCTTAAGGTAACTGTATCCGAAATTGCATAGCATATGCTTCTTTTGTAGTTAGGTTGGATTAATGGATATGTTATCATGAAATGTAGAAATCATGCATGTTGAAAGCTTGGATATGGGATGAAATATTGAATTTTTTTACTCTGAGTTATCTATGAACTACATAAATAAATTGTCATTGCTAACTTGAAGTCAACTTGAATACTGTATATGACCTAGTTTCTTTCTGCAGCGCTTTCTTCTGAGGGTTTGCCACAACCTTGTATTTCTGATATTGAAGCTGAGTTATGTGAAATGAAATTAACACTATCGATGGAGCTGGAGAAGCGAAAGCAGGCCGAGGAAATACTGGATAAATTCCGGGGCCAGTGGCAGAGGCTTAGAGAGCTGCTATTGCTTGTAGGATTGACCCTTCCTTCAGATCCCACAGTAGCCACAGAAGGGAAGCAGTTAGATTCTGACCCTGCTGAAGAATTGTGCCAACAAGTTTATCTTGCTAGGTTTGTGTCAGATTCTATTGGAAGAGGTGTAGCGAGGGCAGAGGTGGAGACTGAGATGGAAGCGCAGCTTGAAGTGAAGAATTTTGAGATTGCTCGATTGCTGGACCGGCTCCATTACTATGAGGCAGCAAATCATGAAATGTCCCAAAGGAATCAAGAAGCTGTAGGTAAGAACCTTGTGAACCTTGGCTGGTATTTTGTAATTCAAGTCACTCATTGTTGATGTCTTGACCTCCTTATTCCTTTTCATTTTTGTTTTATTGTTCTAAAGGGGGTTGTGGGGGTCGCGTTCGCTATATTGTGTGTTTTGTGTTACTCCTACTCTTTGTTCCCTGGACTTCTTACTCGCTGGTTGCTACGACTTCAGATTTTTATCAAACTTCTTTCTAATATATACAGAGAAATAGTGACTGGTTAGATTACTGTAATGACCAGTTTAGAATTTTTGTGCAGATAAATAAGGCTTCCAATTAAGAGGGGTATGATAGGAATAATTATTAGTTAGGAGGCGTGGTTTTTCAAAGGGTCATTCTTCATGCAAAGGGATGAGGGCCTAGACCAGTCATTGGATTCATTTAGTCGACATGGGGCATGATAGAAATAATTATTAGTTAGGAGTTGTGGTCTTCCAAAGGATCATTCTTACATGCAAAGAAAGGGATGTAAGGGATGAAGGCCTAGGCCAGTCATTGGATTCATTTTAGTCGACATGTGTTCAAATTTCAATCCCTATGATCTACCCCTTCTGCTTGATTTCCCTGTTCTCCTTGGTTACGTGTCAAATGTCTGTACTGTTGGCTAAGCTTTACCTGTGTTTATTTGGTTCCAGATTTGGCGCGACGGGAGAGGTTGAGAAGGAAAAGGAGGCAAAGATGGATCTGGGGTTCGGTTGCCACTGCGATCACACTAGGTACTGTAGTCTTAGCCTGGTCGTACCTTCCATCGGGAAAAGATTTGCCATCCAGCAACAATTCGAAGGCCGTTGAGCATGATGATGCAACAGTTTGATGACCGCCGATACAAGACTTAGATTATGTACCATGTTATAGAAAGGAAAAATAAAAAGGAGCCATACATCATATACATCTGGTATAATGTTGATATCAAATGCCTGCTTTTATCTGAAGTATTGGCATGCCCAAGGTATAGTTCTTATAAATGGTCGGCCCTTGTAATTAAAGATGAAAGGGGTTGATTCTTGATTTTTTATTATTTTTTTTCTTTCTCAGACCTAACAGGGTTATAACACCTGAAATTTTTGGCAATTCATGCAATGATATAGTGTAGAAATATTTGATTAGTATCAAATAAGTATTTGGAGAGAGGATTTGGAACTCTGTGATGAACTCTTCTGAATAATGGTTACTGTAATCCCTTCCATTACAGCACAGAGAGGGAGACAATATCTTTCAGTTTGAAGGCATGATGTGGATGTATTCATGCGTTGTTTAATGAATAAGGCTTTTAATGCTTGCAGATGATGCAATGAATGAGAGTTGTGTTCAGATAAATTGAAGGTTTTAAAAGACAGCGATGTTTCCTGAAGTTGGGGATTGGCTTCATGTCTTGTTAGCATGTTAGTGGGTCTATTTAGGTCCATCTCTCTTGATTTGTTGACCTATCAGTTTAAAATAGTTGAAACTAGTTTCACCGTAATATAGTCCAATTTTCAAGTTATTCTAATTTTTTTAATGCATAAGGTTCTATTTACGATTGGATACAAGCATAATATAGTGTGATTCTTAATGCATTATTTAATCCTTTAAACACAAGTCTACTGTAGGCACTGTATTATTTAGGCTTTCTTTTTCGGTTTTTCTCTCAAGGTAAAAAAAATGCTTCGCTCCTCTTTTCAACCGATGTGGAATCTTACACTCTACTCCTTAGGAGGCCAGCGTCCTCACTGCACACTGTTTGATGTTTGGCTTTAAAATATCAAACACAAAATGAAAGAGTTAGAAATTATGATGAAAGGGTGAGATTTACTGGCTAACTACATGCAAATAACGAGTAAGGAAGAAGGAACCTTCATGGGCGGTGGGAAGTACTGACAGCACCTGTTGACACTCTGTTTTACTGCTGGGAGAAATGTGGGACAGCCATTTTTTAAAAATTGTACATCAAGGCTGTGCCCTCCAAACAAGATCTACCTTTAGTGGGATTTAACCTTGCTTCCATTCTTGTACTATTTTCTTTACCAAATTTTGTCGGTAGGAGAATCAGGGATTTGATTACGATCTGATTCAGCCATAAATTGGCCTAAACTTCCCACAATTAGAAGCCCAAATATGCCTAATGCCTGCAGTGTTCGTGCATAATCATGGATTCCAAAGTAACAGACAAATTTGCCAGACGACAAAGCTTCTTCTACTGAAAGATACCATCTTTATTCCACCGGCGGGCTGTAGTTTTTTCAGTTGTCTTTATATTGCTTTTTATAGCGGTTGATAAGAAGACAAACTCTTAGCTTCTGATAAAGCCAACTGCTTGAGCATCTCTCCATCCATTTATGCCAGAAAGTAGCCAACGCTGTTCCACTCCCATTGGTAGAAACAGAAGAACAGACATGAAGCTTTGGGCTTTGGCTCCCTTATTGGCCCTTTTCATTCATGGTGTTGCAGGAGATGGCTTTGTCAAAACTGGAGGAATTCGTTTTCTGTTGAATGGCAGTCCTTATTATGCAAACGGCTTCAATGCTTACTGGCTGATGTACGTCGCCTCTGATCCATCTCAGAGGTCGAAAGTCTCCGCTGCATTTCGCGAGGCGTCAAGCCATGGCCTTACGGTTGCAAGAACTTGGGCTTTCAGTGATGGTGGATATAGACCTCTTCAATACTCTCCTGGCAATTACAATGAACAAATGTTTCAGGTATCTTTCAGGATTCAGACAAATGTTGCTGTGTTCTATCTTTCTTGTTTTTGCTTCATTCAACCTTTTCTTTGACAGGGAATGGACTTTGTTATAGCTGAGGCCAGAAGATTTGGAATCAAGCTGATATTGAGCTTAGTTAACAACTATGAAAATTTTGGAGGGAAAAAGCAATATGTAAATTGGGCAAGAAGTAACGGGCAGTTCCTGAATTCTGATGATGATTTCTTCAGAAACCCAGTTGTGAAGGGATTCTACAAGAATCATATCAGGGTAAGTTAAATTATTATAGAAAAAAGGAGCGAAGGAGATTTGGGACCCCGAAGATGTCTGACAATTTCATGTTTTTCAGACCGTTCTGAACAGATACAACAGCTTCACAAGAATTCATTACAAGGATGATCCGACAATAATGGCATGGGAGCTTATGAATGAGCCTAGATGCATATCAGACCCATCTGGAAGGACAATCCAGGTGAGTTCTAGCTTTCGCTTTCATGGATCTGAGACGTAGCTGATGCATTTATTGTATGTGAAAAAGAGTTCATTGAAGCTTACACTGTTGGTTTAAATATAGGCTTGGATCATGGAAATGGCTTCCTTTGTGAAGTCAATTGATAGAAACCACTTGCTGGAAGCTGGTTTAGAAGGGTTCTATGGACACTCATCACCTCAGCGAATGAGCGTCAACCCAGGTTCTTCTAACATTGGTACAGATTTCATAGCCAACAACAGAGTCCCTGGCATAGATTTTGCCACTCTTCATTCCTATCCTGATCAATGGCTATCAAGCTCAAATGAGCAATACCAGCTTTCATTCTTAAACAATTGGATTTCAGCCCACATACAAGATGCAGAGAATATTCTACACAAGCCAATTCTCCTCGCAGAATTTGGAAAATCATGGAAGGTTCCAGGTTTCAGCACAAACGGAAGGGACCTTCTATTCAACACGGTATACTATAAAATATATTCATCGGCGAGAAGGGGTGGCGCCGCTGCCGGAGGCCTCTTCTGGCAGCTACTGACGGAAGGAATGGATTCTTTTCGCGACGGATATGAAATAGTCCTGAGCCAAAACCTTTCAACAGCGAACGTGATTACTCAACAATCTCGCAGACTCTATCAAATCAGAAGGATTTTCGCTAGAATGAGAAACATCGAGAAGTGGAAGAGGGCAAGGGCCGCAAGGGGCAAACGAATCGGACATTGAAAAAATTAACAACTTACCTGCAAAATGGAGAATCTGGGTTCGTGTTCTAATGGAGGATGGAGGGATTTCGGGCAATGGTTTCTGTCTTTGAGATGAATCGTCTTTCGTCCAGGAGGAAAGCTGAAGCTTTTTTGTGGTTTTTGATCTGGGGTTTGGAAGTTTTCATAGATATAAACTACTTAGATCATAAGAAATAACAGAGTTCGAGATGGAGTTGGTTGTCAATTCATATACAGTGTGTTTGCTGGTTTGTGATTTTGTTTGGAGTGTTGTAACTTATTTGAATATCTAATAGAGTTTTTACTATGAATCCTTGAATGATATAATACTCAATTATGCATTATCTTGTTGTTTAGTTTCAAATTAAGCATAGGTAACAGATGAACTTTAAAGATTATACTTGATTAAAAAATTATGCTCATTGCTTTAATGGAAGTGAGAGGAAGGAGAAGAGGAGAAAAAAGAAAAAAAGAAAAAAGGAAAAAAAAGAAATCTGTTGACTCTTGTTAAAATTGGGAAAGAATATTTTAAATATGAGATATTTGGACACTTTTTTAGGTCATCGGTAAAGAAACCAACCAGATCACCGACCGCCCATGCATCAGAGACAATATTTTGAGAAATTGGTCGGGAGCTTTTTTTATGGGTAATTTGAATGCCCCTTTAAATTTGTTCAGCAAAATAACTCAATCTATTCAAATTACTGTTTCCAATCTTACTTGATCAACTTTTGATGCAGGCACTGTGATTCGGCTCCAGTTCTTGGTGCCTGGAAAGTGTCCACAATGTTCATGGCCCTTCTCAGACATCATGATCTTATTCCGTCGGCCTCACATTTGGAGAAATTTTACAGTTTTGGCACTCGCCGGAACGGAGACGAAGGATTATCCTCATCATCTAAATACAAAATTGGAACCTTCAATCGTGAACACCCATTTCGCGAATCAGGTAGATTTGGTCGAAGTTAACAGCGAGTTGAAAAAATTAGTGAGAACCAGTCAGTTGAAAGATGCACGCGACATGTTTGATAAAATGCCTCAAAGGGATGGGGTTTCGTGGACTAATATTATTTCTGGGTATGTCAATGCCTCAGACTCCTCTGAAGCCTTGCTTTTGTTCTCTAAGATGCGGCTTCAGTCTGAGCTCCGAATCGATCCATTTGTGCTTAGTCTTGGTTTTAAGGCTTGTGGGCTCGGTTTGAATTGTTCTTATGGGACAAATTTGCATGGGTTTTCAATCAAAACAGGTCTAGTCAACTCTGTTTTCGTGGGTAGCGCTCTTCTCGACATGTATATGAAAATTGGAGAAGTTGGGAGAAGTTGTGAAGTGTTCGATGAAATGCCAACAAGAAATACTGTGACTTGGACGGCAGTTATAACTGGGCTTGTTCGTGCTGGGTATAACGAGAAAGGGCTGGCTTACTTTTCTGAAATGGGGAGGTCGAAGGTGGAATATGACTCGTATGCATATGCTATAGCATTGAAGGCCAGTGCTGATTCAGGTGCACTGAATCATGGAAGAGCAATTCATACACAGACATTGAAGAAAGGATTCGATGAGAGCTCCTTCGTGGCCAATTCGCTGGCTACCATGTATAACAAATGTGGTAAGCTAGATTATGGTTTGTATATGCTTGGAAAGATGAGGGCTCCCGATGTCGTTTCGTGGACGACAATGGTAACGACCTACGTTCAAATGGGTAAGGAGGAATGCGGGATTCAAGCATTTAGAAGAATGAAGGACAGCAATGTGATTCCAAATGAATATACATTTGCTGCTGTTATCTCTGGTTGTGCCAATCTTGCACGGTTGAAGTGGGGGGAACAGCTACATGCTCATGTTTTACGTGTGGGGTTTGTGAATGCTTTGTCAGTTGCTAATTCTATCATGACCATGTACTCAAAATGTGGGGAGTTAGCTTCAGTTTCAAAGGTATTTTGTTCCATGAATTTTAAAGATGTCATTACTTGGAGCACTATAATTGCTGCATACTCTCAAGTAGGCTATGGCAAAGAAGCTTTCGAGTATCTATCACAGATGAGAAGCGAAGGACCGAAACCAAACGAGTTTGCCCTGGCTAGCGTTCTTAGTGTATGTGGAAGTATGGCGATTCTCGAGCAGGGGAAGCAATTACATGCTCATGTTTTGTCTGTTGGGTTAGAACAAACAGCCATGGTATGTAGTGCTCTCATTATTATGTACGCAAAATGTGGGAGCATCACGGAAGCTTCTAAAATATTTACGGATTCATTGAAAAATGACATTATTTCATGGACAGCTATGATCAGTGGGCATGCGGAACATGGACATAGCCAAGAAGCCATTGAATTGTTTGAAAGTATCCAAAAGGTTGGTTTGAGACCAGACTCGGTGACCTTCATTGGCGTTCTTACTGCGTGTAGCCATGCAGGAATGGTTGACCTTGGTTTCCACTACTTCAACTCAATGAGTAAAGATTATCACATCACTCCTTCAAAAGAACACTATGGATGCATGATCGATCTTCTTTGTCGAGCAGGGCGATTAAACGACGCAGAGAGCTTGATCAGAAGCATGCCATTTCAACGGGACGATGTAGTCTGGTCTACTTTGCTGAGGGCATGTAGAATACATGGCGATGTTGATTGTGGACAACGTGCTGCTGCGGAAGTTCTAAAGTTAAACCCAAATTGTGCTGGGACTCACATAACCTTAGCAAACATCTTTGCGGCCAAAGGAAAGTGGAAGGAAGCAGCAAACATAAGAATGATAATGAAATCAAAGGGGGTGGTTAAGGAGCCAGGATGGTCTTCGATAAAGCTCAAGGATAGCGTTTTCGCATTCGTTGCTGGAGATCGTTCTCCGCCACAAGGAGAAGACATATACAGAATGCTGGAGGAGTTGGCTTTAGGAATGGAAATCTATATTCTTGAATTGAACCATTTAGTTACTGATATGGAAGAATAGCAGAAGATTATATTAAGTAGAATAGAACAAGTGAAAGTTTGAAGCTTGGAAGAGATTTGTATTCTTCAAAGATCTTTCATAAATGTACAAATGCCTTTGAGGCCTTTTTTTATTTCCTATAAGCCATTGAATGATTCAATCAAATCTACATCCTATCTGCCTTCATGAACACAATTCCCATCCAAAGGCGAGATCAGCGGTTGTTCACCTGTACATGTGACTACACCGATTTTTCATCCTTGAACCAATTGTTTAAGACATAGATAACAAAGCCTACGCAGAACCCAGAAGCTCCGACGGCCACAACAATTTGAACCCACAAATTTGCTGAAAAAGCTTCACTAACCACAGCCTTCCAGAACAAATACCATAAAATGGCGAAGGAACCACCCAAAACAGAGCCTACCAAAACCTGGCTGATAGTATGGAGTTTCTGTGAGACTCGTAGCCATGACTGTCAAATACAGGAGAGGAAGAAAATAAGACTTCCAATCTTTTAACCATTATCTTCAGCCAGGTCCAATTAAAAAGAGAAGATATGAGAATATACTTACAAAATATGAACCAAATATGAAGGAAAGTCCACAGACAGACAATGATATTGCATTAACACCCAGCCATTCCACCACTGCACAGCATCAGAAGTAGTGTTCAAAATAAACCTCGACCAATTGAAGTTTTCATACATAGAATTTTGGATTACAAGTTTTAGAGAATGGATGAGACTCTGAAAAAACAATTTTCTACCTGATGACAACTCTTATGAGATCCCATCGGTCGGAGAGGGAAACAAAACATTCCTTATACAAGTGTGGAAACCTCTACCTGCCCGATGCGTTTTAAAACCTTGAAGAGAAGCCCGAGAGGGAAAGTCCGAAGAGAACAATATCTGCTAGTGATGCGCTTGAACTGTTACAAATGATATCAGAGCCAGGCACCGGACGGTGTGCCAGCGAGGACGCTGGCACCCAAGGGAATGGATTGTGAGATCCCACATTGGTTGGAAAAGGGAACGAAGCATTCCTTATAAGAGTGTGGAAACCTTCCTAACATACGTGTTTTAAAACCTTGAAGGGGAAGTTCGAAAGGAAAAGCACAAAGATGACAATATCTGCTAGCGGTGGGCTGTTACAACTCGTCCATTTGATCCCACAACCTTGACCGGATAAAGATCAGGTTTTAATGAATAAAAGGAGAAGAATAGGAATATGGTGTTGGGGGGTCCCTAACAACGTGTTATTTTGAAATTACACTTCGAAGTCTTGGGTTCAAGTTCTTAATTTGAAATCTTAATGCCTTACAGCATAGGTTGTCATGGTTGGCCAAGAATGAGCAAAGTTTTCTTGGAGATTAATGGTGTGTGCCATGAGCATTTGCGAAAAGTGAGGCTTTGATACTGTATTTTATTCAAAAAAAGCCAGAAATTGCCTTTGAATTAGAAAGTGCTCGAACCATGTCTAACTGAACCATTCAATCAAATTCCTCAACTAAAACTTCGAAACTTGTTCTACAGCTTGATGCCAAGAAGGAGGAGCAAATCATAATGGGGAATGGAGAGTCATTCCACACGACTTAACTGTGGAAGTTTTAATAGAAGCAAACATTATATTCACTCAATTACCTGACAGGGCGGCGAATATGACAATGAAGAATATGGATTGTGCATGAGAAGAGGGCATTCCAGGATCAGGTCTCAATGTGGCAATAGGCCGCTCTTGGTTTAGTATCCTTTTCAGTACAATAGAAAGTATAGCATTAATGACAGATCCCATGGCAGTCCACAAAGCTTCGGCATCATGCCTCAAAAGAATTATGGCAGCAAAGAGGGCAGCTACAAGCCACTTGCTCTGGAAACAAACAACAACAACAATGCTATTGAACAATACACCTAGTCCCAAACTAACAAAATCATGCGGGTTTGGAAAGATCGTAACAAAGATATGGAGGGGTGTATTAAGTATACAATTTACAACTAACCAACAAAATCGCCCAAGTTTTCGTTCAAGCATCAACTTTAAAATGATTCAAGGCAATAAATTGGTGTCCAGACAGTGGTTAAAAAGCCTACGATGCTGCAGACGAAAGCAAGAAATGAAGGAAAAACTAGCAAAATTGACCAACCAGCTTATTGAGTAAGGCCTCCAGCCCACCAGCCGCAATCTCAGGATGAAATTCAGACGACCCATCAAAGAACGACTCTGTCTCTAAGCTTCCAAAGCCCTCATCTCCATTGGCACACCTAATAGAAGAAGTTCTAGTCAATTCAGCCATACCACAACAACCCCAAACTCCGTTCTTCCGAATTAAAGCTTCCTTCGAGACAAACCCACGAACGAAAACAAGATTCAATGGAGGGATTTCAAGAGACGATGTGGGCTTAAGGGAATGAAGCTT